CTTCTAGGGTGTTGCTTTTTAGTTTTTTTACCTCATGCATTTGGGTAAGTCTTTTATTTAATGGCCACCCGTATAGGTCTGGTCTGGAAAAAATGTCATTTCCGGTTTCCACTGAGTTCATATTTGGTTACAATATATCATATTACAGAAACAATATTATGGTCTAACATGGGCAAGCTTGTAGTGAATGTCCATATACTTTTCCAGCCTTGTTCTGAAGAGACCTTAATTTGCATTTTTCCTTCTGTTTTTTTTTTTAATATGCTTTATTTTTCCCTTTAGAAGAAAAAATAATCCTCATCAATCTGCCTCCTGCCTTCATCTTTTCCTCTAAATTGTTCTTCCTATCCTCCCTGCACTCACTCAAGTGTTTGAAGACAAAGGATGATCTTGATCCTTGTATTAGAATAATGATGTGCATTTGTACCTTCCACCATTTTCCCTATCAACAAAAGCTAATCCCATATTCATGGTTTGTTGGAAAAGGAAACAGAACAATATACATGAGACAAACTTTTTTTGACTTTGGTCTACTGGACATTCATTCAGGAAACAGAAGTGACATTGCTAAGCTCCAAATTAAAATAATTGTATTAATAAAGTACAAAATCTACCTTTTGACTTTTTTTTTTGTTCCACCCCCAGCCTTGGATGAAGGACTATGATCTCAACTGTGAGAAGGTGCAACACAGAGCACCAGGAATATGGTTGTCCAGTCTGTGGGACCTTCTGAGCAGGGGGTGTCTGCCTAACCTTAAGACAGCAGTAGGGTAATACATATTTTAACTCTTAGAATCACAGAATGGCCTGGTTTGGAAGGGACCTTAAAGACCATCTAGTTCCAACCCCCCACTAGTTCATACTGTTCAAAACCCCACCCAACCTGTTTTCAAGATATCATTGTCAGCACAAAGTACAGCAGAGTTGCCCCTGTGCTTGAATTTAATGAAAAGCCTTACTTTACAACGGAGGGAGGGAGGGAGGGAGGGACTAAGGCGGCAAAATAGGTGTTTCATAAAGTGGATGTTCAAATAGGGTAGCAGAAAAGTTCTCAAAAGATGTTATAACTTTACTCCTTAAGTGGAAAAATCTGGTACATTTATTAGCCAGAATTAAAAGCTGCCTTGGATTTAGGGGAGGGAAGAGACAGTGAAAAGGAAGAACTTGTGAAGAACTTGTGTGTTCACTCAGACATCTTTAAAACTACATTGCACTTCATCACTTGACAATATTTGTACTTTGGATTTGACACTTCTTGGAGAAAATGGACAATAATTTGCACATGGACAATGATTACAGAGAATTGTAAACTTAAGGATAAAAAAACCCCCTTGAAACAGTGAAAAGGCCAATGCTGAGATTTCTCATACCAAGGAACAAGTAAGTGAACTAGACTCTTTTGAAAATAACAGCTTTCTACCATTTTAAAAAAATAGTAATCAGATTTAATATTTTAGAAATAAATTCTATAGAATATATTCTCTTAGTTAATTCTAGATTTTCAAAGTATTTTACATCAACTGTTCTGCAACCATTATAAAGCAGATGATAGAATTACTCTTTAGTCTCAGCAGGAAAACATAACACCCCCAAATGCTTAAGGATTTTCTCTATCATCCTCTTCTGTTCCTGACTGTTTCAGGAAGTAAAACAACTGGCACAATGAACATCGGTTTATAAAAGTCACGAGCTGTAACAGTGGAGATCCTTATTTAGCAAATGCCTTTTAAAAGGATATCATGGGTCTGTCTTGCTTTATGTTTGAGTAAGGACACCTGCATTGCTACAGAAACAGCCTAGAGAAAAGGAGTTGCAACTGAGAATTCAGCTGGTAAAAGAACACAACATGCAGAAGAGTAAGACTGTCTGTCGCTGCCAAATATGGTGTTGCAGGAAAACTACAATCTTGCTGCTCAAATGTTAAGCACTAGACAGGTAAATGTTGTATATTCAACACAGCTTTTATTCTAATTTTTCACTGTGAAATTTACTTTCTAGCTTCTGCCCAATAATCCAGTCCAAGGAAAGGAGAGCTCATTTCAGCCGTGTTTCATGTTAGTGAAAAATTTCTGGTCACTTCTGAGCTGGGCTGGGCTTCATTTGCAAAGTGGCATAGTCTGCAGTACAAAAATTTACTTATGATGCCAAAACACGAGAATAAAATGGTATTTTACCTGTTCTATAGAATAATGTTTTATCACAGTATCACCAAGTACATTACAAACCAAAGCACAGAGAACACAATGATACAATAGGACAAAAGCAAAGTCTCCTCTGCCTGAGCCCAGTACTCTCTATCCAGTGTATCACATTTCTGTCAGGAACACCTGAACTAATAGAAACCTTTATACATGCTTAGTTTTGCATACAAATATATGTATATGACCTTTAACAAAGCAGGTGTGTTTGTGAAGGTACTGCCTTTACAAAGGAAGGCAGGGAAAGCAACATGATCAGTTTATTAGCACATTTACTGAAATAAAACAGCCAGATCAGGTTAGAAACTGGAGCTGGACAGGGATCAGTCAGCAGTCTAGTGAGTAACAGTACCACCAATACCTCACAGGAATCCTGCAGCACTTGGACTAAAGGCAGGGTCCCACTGTTAACAGCAGGGGAGCAGCTGAACCTTATCTATAGCAAGTGATAGTTACTATGGAGTGGAACCAATGGCCTTAAAATAAACAGATGTCAACTCCAATCATGATTCACTAGCAAGAACTTAAGTAAATGAAAAACTGTAAAGATTTACAAATCTAGAATTTTCTCATCTAAGTAGCATACAGCTCAACAAAGAATATTTGAAACTTCTACTGACCAGCTTTTAAGGATGTTTCAACGGACATGAGTTACAGCTCTTAAGCAACAACTGCAATTGCTGTAATCGTGCCAGTGAAATTCTAATTTCATGTATACCATCTATTAAAGCTTTATAAATATGTAACAATGCACCTTTTTCCAAGAAAGGTGAAGTTCACCTTATAAGCAAAAACGCATCTGCTTTTAGGTCCTGTTCCAGTAACAGTCTGTGTGAAAATTCCAGTTTATTTCAAGAAAGGGAAATGCTTTTGTTATGACTCATTTTTGTGAACGATGCAATATAATCACAAATATATACCAGGCTTCTTAGAAGTGTTTATCAGTAGCCAGATATCTTAGAAATAAAGCTGATAAAGACTATCAGTAAAGTAGGTATTTTCACAAATAATAAACTGTGTTGATACAGAAGCAAATACTGCTGGTTATAATTTATAATACTTTTATCACATAGAAACAGCCTACCCAAAATGAAAGGACTGGTAATCAACATGATTCCCAGCTGGGAAATGAGACACAGCATGTATTATTCTATACTAGCCCAGAAAATAACACTGAAATATTTTCCATCCCATGACTTAAGCTTGCTTTTACTTAAACGAAGAGTATGGGTTTTGTTCCAAAAAAAAAAAAAAAAAAAAAAAAAAAAAAAATAAAAAAAAAAAAATCAAAGTTTGATCAAGTGATGGGGAACTTGACTCTCATGTTTTTTACATCCTACTCTAGATTTCAGCTAAATTTACCTACCTGTTTTGGTCAGGATTTAAACTATTTTTTTTTTTCCATTCTAGTCAATACTAGAAAAGGGTTTAGCTTTGTTATTTACTGGCATGGATTTGGCTGGGCAACAGGTTTAACCTGTACTGAAAAAAAGAGAGGTTACTGGGTTTTTTTCCTCAGTCTATCTCTGTTATAAGGCTTGGTAGTACTATTAATAATAGCTACCAGGAACTCTCCATTAATTATAAAAAGATCTGACTTTATAACTTGCTGTAAGAACTAAAGACTTTTTTACTTTGTATCTTGAGATCAAATCTTGATCACAAAATACCATATTGCATCAAAAATATTATTACCTACATTATCACTACCTAGCCAATTAGGAATATTTTTTCAACTTAAATCTTTACTTTTTTGACTTCAAACATGGGAAAAGAGTGTATCACAAATGCTTTATGTAGTCCCTGCTCCCTCTACCTCTCTCTTACAAGGTACTGCCTATTATCCTATGCTGCAGACTTTAGAGAATTTGGCTGTATTCACCCCTGATGCCCCAATGGCATGGAACATACACGTCCAAATACTCAGAAGTTTTTACAGATGCTAATATTACAGAGGACTGGGACCAGATATCTGTGCCAACGGAAATAGTAAATAACCATCACCTCAATATTTAAAGCTAGCTGCAAAGTATTTTATAAAGTTAATCATTTACTGTGCTTGCTGACATTATTAAAGATATTTTTCATGTGAAAGCACAGGGGCCAAGAAAATAATTTCTTATTGCTCAGTAATGGCATGAATAACAAAGCAAAAGATTTCACTTAACTTTCCCCTGAGAGAAATACCGCAGTAAAGTGTGTGTGGTTCTCCAACACACTCTGAAGTTAAAGAGCTGCTACTGATGATCATCTACGTCCCAGCTCAAGCAGAAGAGATTTGTGCTTTTGGTGCTGGTGTGAAGGGAGAGTGCCTAATTTAAGCCCACTGTTAAAGCAAGACCCCTGTATATACAGGGGTATGTTACATTTGCCCTAAGAATATCTTGAACAGAATAATTAATTCTTCAGTGCAGAACTTTAAGGGCTAGCACATTTCTCTTTAAAAATCATGGGCATTTGCTGTATGGCATTGGAGAATACAGGCACTTACCTGGCTACTCAGCCTTAGAGAAAGAGACTAGGGTGGTCTGTGACTGCGAGGAACAGAGGCTGTGGAATTTCTGAGCCAGATAACCAATATGAGTGGCTTTCCCAGGAGATGGAATATGTTGCAAGTTTGGAATCCAGTCCCTAGAGAACTAGACTTTTCAATGCAGTTCATATAAAACACGTAGGACTTCTTGTGGAAACAAGTAAATAAAAAACCTTTCCAGCTACTACATGGAGTAAAAATATTTTGCTAATTTAGCATAAATATGAGAAATCACTTTGCCCAGATTTCATACAAAAACAATTAAGTTAGCTCTTTTTTTTGAAAAGCGTATTTTACATCGGCAGTTTTTCTACTGGAGTACTGTACATGATGTTTTAAAGAGCTTCTAACCAGAAGAGTCACTGTTACAGAGATAAAATTTACACTGTGTTTACATGCACACTGTTAACCATCTAGATCTGACACAGATAAAAACTAAAATGCTGATTCTTATTTTGACAAACAAGACAGGCCTATATTTCAACTACTTGATGTATAATAAATGAAATTTCAGTATTAGAAGAATAAAAATGCTGAAATAGATTTTAAAATCAAAATAAGGCAGTGCAGAATTACCAGTGCAGAGAAAATCTGGTTCCTATGCCTCCTTTTTTAGACAAAAGCAACATTATTTAATAAATTAAAGGTACTTTCATTCCCATTTCACTTAAAAACAAGTGGATCACAAGGTAAAGAAAATCCATATGATGCACATGTTCTTTTGCTTACAGACTTTTGCAGATACAAAATTGCTGAAGCTATTTTTCCTCACCGAATGGACTGTTTCCTAATAAGACCAAATGGTACTAAATTTGATACAATCAGAAGTCCACAAAAGCCAGTCTTGTATTTCATAAAAATTTAGGCAATCTAGACACTTCCACATTTTTTTTTCCATGCTTTATTTAAACTTTCATCAGTAAGTCTCTGCTTTTATAAATTGCATACTGACATATTCATAAACTGGCTTGGGAAAAACACACAGGTTTTGTTACAGTGAATTTGAAGATCTTACATTGCCTCAGGATCTGTAGCTATGGCATTTCTCCGAGAGGTTCACAGTTCCCACAGTTCGTACAGTACTGCAAAGTGGCACTAAAGTGCGTAAGTATCTGAACGGTGGCTGGGCTGAAGGTGCTGTGTGAGCTTAAGCTACTGCTTTGCCATTATATACAAGATCATTTTTCTTTGGGAAGGGGGTACTAGTTCTGGAATGCCACTGATTTTAGTTTTAAATGGAGGATTGTCTACCATTCTCTATTCTAGAAGATGTAACTGCCCCCTTTCTGACTCTTCTGTTTGTCAAGAACAGTAAAAGAGAAAATAATACACTCTAAAAATATGTTTCAAGATGATTTATCAGAAATGGTATTAAGAAAAAAATAAGGAAGAATACAAGGTACTCCCGATGAAAAATGGACATGCTCTTCGTAAGCAGCTATGGGTCTTCTGCTCAAATGAACATTCTGTTCATTTTTATCAAAACATGAATCTTAAACTACCATAAATAAAATACATACAGTACAGAACAATTAAAACTTTTTTTTTGTACAGTAGTTACTTTTACATTAAACTTACCATCTTTTCAGATATGTTGAAAATTAGGACTCTAAACATGATTATTTCAGAGTATCATTTTTAACAATCTTGCACAGGCCCGACAGTCAAAAACATGAAGCTTTGATTCAGATAGCTTGGCAGGTTTCACATACTTTCATAGGTAGGCTACTTTGAAATATGTTGGGTGTGTTTTTTACTCATCTGTTTTATTTTTATCAAAAAAAGTATTTGATTATTTTTATTTAAATCTTTACATGAACTGGTTTTGTGCAATATCACTGCCAGTGTAGCTTGAGAAAACAAAATGTGTCTGGAACATTGACTATAGTCCAAGTGCAGTCTACCACTTAAAAAAGTAAGTTTCTAGGAAAATCCAATGGGAGTGAATTTTAACACAGGAAGTCAGTCCTAGAATAATTTTAATATTAAACAGGTACTGTCTCTACCACTGGTGATTTGATGCACTCTTCGTGCAGTCTGCTCTTTTCTGGGAGGTTTAGTGAATTCTCAGCAGGGTGTTCTTGCACATGACCGTCACCATTCAAAGCTGAAACAAAGCCATCTTGAGAAGGACCTTTCAAGTATGAGTGAAATTCCACTGGCGGGTGACTCGGCCTATGCTCAGTGTATAAACTGTTACAGGGAGCACTGCCATCCCCTTCAGAAGATGAGCAGCAAACAATCACTGAGGGGTTTGCAGAAGGGTAATGAGGGCTGCTAAAAGTTTCCTCTGATTGCCGTGTGTAGTCAACAAACTGTTCTGAAGTCATGTTGTAAGGCACCAGAGAAAGACTACCGTTCTTGACAGCATCCCTTTCTGAGTAAGTCTCACTGATCTGGTTAGCAGTGCCAGCAACGTGGTTCTCTATTTGGTAATACAGAGCTGAAGAGTTAGTATAGTATGAAGCATTTTTAGAGTGGTTTTCATGCACAGCAGTTCCATCAGAGTAGCAAAGGACAGAAGGAAGAGGCACCATATCAGCATGGGAGCTCATACTTTCTACAAAATCATCTGCTTTTTCTTCCTCCTCATCTTCCTCCTCATCTTCCTCTTCCTCTTCATCATCATCTGATTCACTAGGGGCTAAACTCTGTGTACTAGAATCTGTAACTCCACTACAAAAGCTACTCCCATCTTCCTCTTCCTCCTCTTCCACTGGGCAGTCCAAGTCCTCGGCTGACTGGGAATGCATAACTGCAGCCGGGGTTTCAGTTTCAATCTCAAAATTTTCTGCAATTGAATATTCAACTGGATGGGGTCCTGGACTCATGGAACTACTGTGTGCACTTATCTCAGTGTGACAGCCATTGAGTGCTGGAACTTGCTGCTCTCTATTTTTCTCCAATTCAAGTTTCATTATCGTGTGCAAAAAGTGAGTCCGTACACGGATAGGGTTAAATTCGATTCTACCTGCTGTATTGCTACACCCTTCTTTAGTGCAACCGCATGGAAAAGACATACGATCCACCTTTTAAAAAAGAGAATACAGATTAACAATGAGAAGCAAAAGCCTGGTGACATGACAGAGCCTATACAGCCTAGAGAAATAAAAAGGTGAGGTGGGATGCACCTTGAGAAATGCTGGTAGAATTAGTCAAAGCAAACGATCATTCAGAGAGTCAGCCCTGGAGTTTAGCAGTACTGAGAGAATAGTAAGGGGCCTGGACTTGCTCCACTATTTCAGAGAAGGGAAAAAATTATTCAGTTCCATAGGTGAAAGTATTACACAGTGGAACAAATAATAGCTTTTCAATTTCTTGATCTGCTACAGCTTTACTTCATTTTGTGCCCAAATCCAGGCAAAAGCATTACCAGAAACACCTTAAAATTTGGTAAAAATCATGGAAACTAGACACTCATTGAAACAAAATTAATAATATACAGAAACTTTTATAAAGTTACCAATGGGGACACCTGATCTCAGAAAACAGGAGCAAAAACTTAAGTGCATTTTCAAAGATAATCGAGTAAATTCTAGATGCAATACTGTAAGCGTAACAGACTGGGCACAGAACTTCTACATCTGATATCTTAAATTTTTGAAAATGTGACTGAACCCATGTGTTGACAAGTTTGATTAGACAGCCTAAGGTCTGTGACTTTCATCTGCACCGTAACACCTAAACATCAAATATGTACAGGAGAACTGCACAACACAATCCAGTACATCTTCCCCGCATGTGGAGATAAAAACAGGAATAGCAGAGAGAATGTATTATTTAAAATAGCAGAGAAAGTTTAGCTTGGATTCATGAGATGATGAAAAACACATTCAGGAAGAAAACTCAGCTGCACAACAGCAACTCAGCAGAACTAGCAGAAATATCTTTTAGGGAACATTTTGGGACACGTACAGCTGACACTATGTAGATGTACAATATGAAATACCTCTTCAGTCTGCAGAGGAAAAACTTACCTGCTATATTAGCAGATATCTTTTTACTGCCTACATGCAAATCTGTCATGCACAGATTTTTAATCATCATGCATGTTACATAAAGGACATTATCACAGAATATAATTTATTTATTGGATGGAGTTTGGACTATAATTCACATTTGGAGTGTTTGCTTATTGTTTCTAAAATAAAAAGTAATGTATCTTCGGAAATCTGCAGGCTACTTATTCTTCTCTTGTCTGTGTCTGCCTATTTAGATAAAGGCCTGAAAGAAGTATAGGGAGCAGAATACTTGTGTAGGAACAAAAAAACACCCTAAGCACTGTATGTGCCTAAAATAATACTAAAGATATTTTAGGAGATTGTATTGATTGCCCACTATATACCCTTAAAACGGGACCTTACAAAACAGGTTGGACATCCACAAGTGTTATTGCCTAATACTTAATTTCCAATAGTATAGCTTCAAGAACGGAAAGTACACATGTGAGCATGGACACACACCCTTCCTCCCACCCCCTCCCCCCCAAGACAATTAAATAATGACAATAACATAGACATTTACCTGACATTTTATGCCTGCAAGACTGCAGGTGCAAGTTTCTGGGTCACAGAACACACGGCAGTCACAGCCACAATCCTCTCTGGACAGGCGGATGGCTCGCAGCTCGTGCTTTTCTTCCACGTCAATCTTCTTTACTCCAGAAGCTCGCAGCAATGCCCGCCGCTTTTTTGTAGGCAGGGGTTGGAGAAAAAAGTACTCATCTACTTCAGTGTTGTCTAGATCAATATCATCATCAGAAATGTCATCCAGAGTCAGTGTATTGGCTTCCTCAGATTCCACCGTACCATTCTTCGTCATCTGTTGCACAGAACAAAGTCCTTAAATGACAGTCACACTGAAGTCATGTCATAGACATCAATATGTGAAATGCATTATCAATGTACAAAGCTGTATGTAAAAATGCTGCATGGCTGCCAGGAAGTTCCAGAAATTGTCACAGATAGGGTGACCAGGCATTTCTTTCACATTCAGCATATTAATTAAATACACTTTTTTAATACCAAGTTTGTAATGAAGGTAAGAAATTATCTGTTCATTATTTACCTAAATTTACTGCTTGCCATTAGCTGCTAGATCTCAATGCTTTTATGAAATTCTGGTCTTTTCCGCATTGTTTGACAAGATCATTTTTGAGACCTTAATTGATTCCTGTCTTTGAGTTCTCTGAAATTCTTAAATATCCCTTTTGAGATAGCAATGATACTACTGACATGGGTTCAGATCACGATGTATTACAGGTTTTTAAAATGGTATATTTTATGTACTGCTCTGTTTTCTGATACGCATTTCACATTACACTGGTAAAAGGGGGTAACAGCTCCCTAAACAGTTCTGCCTGGCCCTTGGACAGTGGGAAGATTATTTACACCAGGTATTTCAACATATTAGTTCAGTAAGGTAGAAGAAGCAACATTAGAAGTCATCCTTTTTCCTGCACATACTACAGAGAGAGAGGTAAATCCACACAGGGATTAAATGCATCTTGAATTAGCTGCCCGAAGCTAATACCTCACCATACACACAACTCAGCCTGAATATTTTAATCCAGAATAGCTCTCTTGGTTGTATCTTTTCATTTTACGTTAGCAAGGTAAAACTAAATAGAGTGTATTTTTGTTTATTTGATTTCTTTGCTTGTTTGTTTAATATGTAATAGGGGAATGACCTACCTAAGAACTGATTTCTCTAGTTTAATATACACAAGGTTCAATCCACTCCTTAAGCAGATCACTGTTACTTAATCTAAGTTAATAGGGAGGGAGAAAAAAATAGAAGGGAGAAAAATTCTAATCTCTGCTTCTGTAATTAGTTTACTATTTTATTCAATTGCTGTTTAATAAAAAAAAAAAGCTTTTAGGGCTCTTACCCATGAGGTGGATGCTGTAACTGATCAGTACACAAAGGCACCTACAGAACCATACCAGTCCTGTCATGCATTTCTCCTCCTCCTCCTCCCCCTGCAAATCTTAACTATGCTTCACAGCAGTAGAGCATGAAGGACTGGCTTCCAGTGATGTGCTGAATGCCACATGCATCCAGCAGACTGGAACATCAAACGCATGGCATCAGCCAGCAGTTTGCCATTTCAAAGCACCTCAGCTCCTAACTCCTTTGCAGGATGATTTCCTTGTTGTCTCCTCTAATTTTTTTTTTCCTCCATTTTGATACACGAAGAACAAATAAATTAATAAAAGGAAAGAGTCTAACATTTCTCAAAAAAGTAACTGGGAAACTACAGAGAGACTAAGATTATCAAAAACCATCAAATACATTTTCCAGAACTTCAGGGGAACATTAAGCTCTCTTGATTGTCATAATACTGCTCATCTGAATTAAACTTGATATGTAAATGGGTACATTTCCTCATAAATCTAAAGGTTAATGTCATAACCACAGAACAAAGGCCAATGAATATGTGAAGCCTTTGGGTGAAATTCAGTCCCACTCGGTAAAACAGGAAAAATGTAGGATGGACACCTCTGCCTTACCCTAGTTGGAAGTTATTCCTTACGACTTCCTGCAAAGGGAACCTACTGTGTCCACAGACCAAGGAGCCTTAACATCACTGGTCTCGTGCTAATAATGTTAATTTCAGGAGACATTATGAGTAAGCACTAAGATCTCTTTTAGGTATTTTTTTCTGCTTACTCATGTTTTCTCAAATGATTACCTTGTACCTGTCACTTGATAAGATGGCTTTTACATCCAGGATTTTCACACTCTGCTGCTAACAAGTGTTTATGCTCCTGTCAGCAGTGTTTACATCAAAGTACTGGTATGAAATGGCCAAAGTGACTTGAACATGATTTCACAGTCTTTATCTGCTTTTAATTAGAGGCATTTCTTATTTGACCCTTTGCTTTTAGAAACTAAAACAATAAACAGTACCTCATATTATGGAAACTCAAAATATATTCCTTCATTTTTATCTCTTTTAAACAGGTTCTACAGGAGCAAATACTTTCTTCCCACCAATCTGTATATTTTAATGCAATATAAAAATATTTTTTAAAAAAAATCCCAGGGAAACTGAAATCAAAAACCACACTGAAAACTTCCTATTTACATAATGTTTTTCTAATAGAAAAACCTCTGACTAAACTTCATTCTACTCCATTTTCTCAATTTCTTCATTTTTCTCTGATGTAATTTTTAGGCAAATCCTGATTAGGACATTTTCATTAAATGTATAATAATTTTGCTGACATAACTGCTGACACTGTCACATTAGAATGCCACATATCCTTTTTTCTTCATTTAGAAACTATCTGAATGACCAAACAGCTCTTTCATCTCTGTAACGAAAAATTAGCAAGGCCCTGTTTTCTTAAGCAAACAAAACATGCTCGGTGCTTTACAGTGACTCTTCACTAATTCAGCAAGACCTGAATTTTCTTTTCATGTTTGAAATTTTTTTTTCAAACCCAAGCACATAATCAGGGATGCAGCTAAGCTGAGGTTAATGGACTAGGTAAAACAGGAAGTCTTCTGCTGTCTATGTTTTTATACATGCTCCAGATAAAGAGGAATATTTTACTCTAGTAAAAGATTTAACACCAGTACGATGCAAATAAGGAATGCAAATAAGGCTCTCCTTATTCACTGAATACTTATGAAGAGATCTTGCAGGAACTCAATAATCTTAATAATCATCCACTCAAACAAGTGACTGGGAAAAGCATGTATTTGGAAAACGAGCAGAAAGTATGGTCTGTGCCCCCAAAACAGACTGGGCTGAAGTAAAATAAGGTAATAAAGAACAGAGATCCATCCCAGCCAAGAGGAAGGTTAGGAGAGGATGAAGAGCCAAGCTCCAGTTCATAAAGGCTAAAAGGCCTCATCTACTCTTTCAAGGTACATAAGATCTGTGCTTTTTCTTGATTTACTTTCTAGCTAAGAAAAGAAAAGTGAAATATTTGTGTGCTTGACTATTCTTTACTCACTCTACTGGGGATTTCTCTCTTTGAGCTGATTCCTGGAAGTCAGCCAAGGGATCTACAGCTAGTCATCAGTTACACAGCACAATTCACACTTGATGCTCTGAAAATCCTCTGATGTGAGATGTTACAGGTATAACCTTTTTCAAGTGGTAAGTCACTAACACTACTTGCCTTTAGTTTCTAGCCTGTCCAAATATCTGTCCTTGATTTGCCTTTGTCCTGAGTGGTTTTATGTTTGTTCTATGATAGTTCAAATTTTATGACCTTATGAATTTATTTAAGAATCTATTTACCTATGAAAAAAAACCTGAACATTTAGATGACTGAAAAAAATGTATTACAAATGTGAAGATCATGCACACTTCCTCAGGCCCTGAAACACAAAACTCATGAACTCATGTGTTCATCCTATGGAAAAAATGCTTAAAGGCATTTATTAAACTTGGAGGATGCCACTGCTCTGCACAACTATAGAAACAGAGATGTAGTATCACGAAAGAAGGGGATGTGCAGTACAGAAGCTCAGTTACAGTTCTAAACATTGTTCACTTTTAATTAAGGATTTATCTGAGAAAGAGTCAAAAATATATGCAACACAATCCATGACACAAAAAACCAGTTCTGTCACCAGTTTTAAAGCAGCATAAGGAACACTCCCATTCCCTGCTCTCCTTTACTCAAATACAGTTTCTTCCCTCTCCTCTGTTGTATTCAAAAGGACAGCTTTATTGGGAAGCTGGCCCTGGGAGGGCCAATGGCATCCTGGCTGCATCAAGGAAGTGTGGCCAGCAGGTCAAGGGAGATGATCCTGCCCCTCTGCTTGGCCACATCTGGAGTACTGGGTTCAGTTCTGGTCTCCACAGTTCAAGAAAGATAAAGGGCTACTGGAGAGGGTCCAGTGGAGGCCACAAAGATGGTTTGAGGTCTGAAGCCTCTCTCTTGTTAGAAGAGACTGCGGGAGCTGGGCCTGTTTAGTCTGGAGAAGAGAGGACTGAAAGGAGATCTCATTAATGCACATGAATATCTCAAAGGGGTGCCAAGACCATGGTGGCAGACTCTTTTTAGTGGTGCCCAGTAGCACAATGAAGAGCAATGCCCATAAACACAAGAAATTCTACCTCAACATGTGGAAGAACTTTATTACACTGAGAGTGGCAGAGCACTGGAACAAGCTGCCCGGGGGGGACATGGATCCCCTCTCTCTGGAGACATTCAAAAAGCACCTGGACACATACTGGTGTCACCCCCTCTAGATGAACCCTGCCTTGGAGGGGGCTGTTGAGCAGATGATCTCCAGAAATCCCTTCCAACCTTGAAAATTCTGTGATCCTGTGAAAACTAGCCAAGATTTGTTTTGACTAGCTAAACTAATATAGCTGGTTAATTTATCAGACGCGTTTCTTCTTTAATGGACATTCTTTGGTGAAATAGTACAGACACACAATCACTAAAATTGGTATACTAAGAACAAAAACATTTTAGTATCACTGTTTCTTAGTTCTTCCCAAATTCACTCAAATTGGTTAAGAAAAGAAGTTCTTTCACTTTCTGTACCTATAATGTTACCATTCCTTTTCTAAGACATTGTTGGGCTTAGAAAACTCATTCTCTTCCTGGCACTTCCAGACTTCTGCTGGACACCCTGCTCAAGGCTAGCATCCACCACCCTCTGCTTTTATGTTCCTTTCTGTAGAAAACAGGGAGTAAACAACCTCCCTGTAAAGCACTTGGAGGTACACAGCAATGACAACTACAAGAGTACTTGGTATAATCAAACAAAAACGCATCTTCAAAATTAGAAAACCCCAGGAAAACATCCATTTCAACTGCAAATGGAGCTCATAGAAGGTGACAGATTTGTTTAATGTACACACCTTGGGCCCATATAGCTATGACACTGTTCATTTAAATTAGGGCAGAGATCAAAATCTTAGACAAGTTTTACCTTTAACTTTAGAGAATTGAGTTTTTCCTCCCTTAGATGCTCTCTCAACATCTCTCGATGAAGCCTCTCCTGCTCCATGGCAAACTCTCCCAGTGTATACTGGCGCACACTGTTGTGGCGAGTGGACATTCCCAGTGTGCTTCCTCCTTGGCTGGGAACACTGGTGAAGCCTTGCCTTCTCGTGAAGTAATACACAGTAACACAGTTAAAATGGACATTTTTTGTTCTCTTCCGTTTCTCTCTCTTCAGGATTGAAGATGCTGGAACAGAGGCAGAATGTGTGAATGGTAACTTGCAGTCAGGCAGCAGATGTGTTAAGGTAAAGGGAACTGCACAAGTCGCAATACCTGACCAGACAGACACCACATTCCAAGGTGAGAATAAGGAAGAGAAATATTAGAAATATTTACCACATATGCAACTTACCCACTTAGAAGCCACTACAAACTGTTACAGTGATGGACACTACTGTGTCCTTCAGAACAGAAATACATGGTGAGGAATGTTCTTCTTTCCTGTCATATCACAAAAATCTTTTATCCTTTTACTGAGGAAGCAATCAAATCCCAGCAAAAGAAACTTCTTTCAGTGTCACCACACAGATGGTGATCCACTGACTTACACCTCTTCTAAACCCTGCCAACAAAGTTGCACAAGGCAGCAGAGATCCACATTGCTACAGCACTGAGTCACACTGACAGAAAAGATTAGTTTTTCCTATCATCTAATTTTTTATAAATTGATGTTAGAAAAACTATAAAAGCAGTATGGTTGTATTTCATACAGTTTCATACTGTCTCAAAAATTCGTACCAACATCATCACTACTGAATGGTATAGAAATAATTCTGACTAGCAGTCACACACACTTTGTTTTCTTCACTTTCATCCTTCTTTCTGCTGCCATCCACTGAATATGTATATGTGTGTATAGTCTAACATGTAGAATTTTGACAAAAATTTAAATCTCATATTTTCTAACTCTTTTCTGATTCCACTCATACCTGTGCTCAGGTTTTTAAATAAACATATGCAGTAACATATGAAACTTGTTTAAAAACAAATGCCAAATTTTAACTGTTAAATACTCTTCTTTTGGTTCTACAGACACTTAGCAACTCTTTCCCATGATACTGATCTATTGTTTCTCACTGATAATAGCTACTCTTTAGAGGAAACAAAAAAGGACACACAAACCTTAGAGAAAGGTAAGGGACACTCCTTGATTTTTAAAATGAGCAGTCCAATTAATTTGATTTGTTGCAAAATAGCAACAAGTTGAGAATGCAGCTTGTAAGTCACTGCTTTGCAGTTTTTATAGGCAACAACTGCAGGTATATGCAGGTATGAATGAGAGACCTCACTGCCAGAATTCAGGCAGTAATACGAAATAAATGGTGCCTGACCACTCTTGAATGGCTTGCAATTGTTCTATAAAAGCAGTAAGAGCAACAAGATGTACACTGATTAGAATTCCACCATTTCTAGAGATGGGACACACTTGACCTTCAGGTCTGGTTTTGTAACAGGTCTGGTTCATTGTCACAGGTAAAACATAGTTCAGTCTCTATTACTGTTATGTTGTGAAATGTTAATCGCCACAAACATAAATCCACAAACTTCTACATGATGTAAAACTGTCAAAACCCCCAGCATCATCTCCCAAACCGTGTGAAAAACAAGTATTTTAGAAAATAAAGCCCTTTATCCAAATTACTGTGTATCCTACAGATATTACCACCAAACTCTTTGTGGTTCACTGAAACATTTCAACAGGATTCCCAAATACTAATAAGCTGCTAAAAGTATGGTTTGCTATATAAAAGGCACTTCAGACTTCCTTCAGGTATGCTGGATTATAAATATAAAACAGATGAATAAGATCAGGTCCTGTTACTCACATGCTCCCAGTGAAGTGTGTTACAAAAACGGTATAGGATGTACAGAGGGAAATCAAAAGACAAATTCTGTTACATTAGGAATGTTTAACTTATATCCAAGTTGAAGCAAACCTTACATAAACAGAGCTTGTAAAAAATGTTTATAGGAAACCTTTAGTGAGGGAAGAGGGTATTTCATTAGCAGACTAGTTGATAGGGATATGCTTCAATTTTGCATGATATTAAATATAGTTTTAATGTGCTGTTCTTTTTCATATATACCACAGTTCCAAAACAAAACGACCTTTAATAAAACAAAATTTTTAGCATTTGTAAGATGGGGTAATTTTCATACTGAGACATTCTCTTTCAATGTAACATAAAAGCAAATACTCTAAATCAGAACCTGCACTGCCAATATGCTCTAACACATAAGAAAGTGCATATTAAAAAAACACTTTTTCTGATGAAGGAGGTATCTAAACGATTCTGGGTTGTATCCAATTTCTGATATAGTATCAATGTTATTTATATCTCAACTGGGTTACACCTCTATTTCAGAATAAATACTGACAGCTACACAAAGGCAAGCAGCTTTTTTGCCATATAAATGAACAGTCACAAATGAAATGAGAAATAAAACAATTGTAAAATACTCAAGGAAAGAAAGGGAAAGTTGCTCTTGAAAAAAAAGTAAAATTATATATATATACACACATACGTTTCATGAAGAAATTGAAGGTAATTGCACCTGTAAATCTCACACGTTAGAGAATCACACAAACCTTTGAATTCTTATCTGTAAACCTGAGTATCTACAACACAAGGTCTGTGGTGACAGTAATCTGGTTTAGATCTTGGCTGTGGAACTCCTGACAGGGCTACTTTAATAGCAGGAATGACAAATACTGCAATAAAAGCACTTCTGTTTTTTCAAGTCTGTCAATCTCTTTATGGTAGAGATACTATTTTCATACTAATGGCTAAACATAAATAAATTACTCTCGAGTTTTATTCACACATTAGCCAGTAACATTAATAGCTAAATGAAGCTAAGCAGAAGAGTCTGTGATCTAGTTACTCGCAGATGAAAAAAAAGGATGTCTTCTCTGATAAAAACTAGATACCATGCATGAGCTTTTAGACTATGTGCATTTTTGCCCACGTGTGTGTATCAAAATTTAGAACATGTATTTCATGCACTGCCATACATGTACACCTAAAAGTTCGGTCAGCAGTCTCTCAGTTAAGACTGCAGACATCATGGGCTGTCTTAAAGAACCCACTAATGCATGTCTTCAATTTTTTACAGTTCTTATCATTTTCAGTAATTGCATTGTCAATGCCATTCCATCAGTGTTGTTTGTTTGTGGAGGTTTTTTTTTGATATACCAGTGATTAAAACTGCATCAAAATAGAATTAAGCTGAATTTCATGAAAATGTTGACATACGGTAACTGCAGTCACCAGCACCATAAATTCAGCACTAGATTGTATGAAGACAATGTGAGAGCTGACAATGCATTTGTTGCAAATTCCATTTTATGACATATGCCATTATATGACAATCTGTAATTAAACATGTGTGTAAACATTCAGAGCCCTCAGAATACATGGGATTACTTTTTCTGGAACACACCCTATCTTTTGGTAGAGCTCATTAGAGGACAGAGTTAAGGCCCTGTGAAGAACCCCATGATCATCTGAATGCTACTGTCAGGAAGAGTTAGAATATATTCACATTTATGTCAATGTTGTTTACAAGAACAGATCTGGCAGGAGTTGCAGGAGCTTACAGGGTTGTATTTGATTACTCAAAAGCACAGATTAGAATATCTGTGGAGACTGTCGAGGAGATGTGAGAACTGTGACCACCTCAGCTACCAAGGACATGGAAAGAAGCAGTCAACACTGCAAAGCACTGTGTTCTTGCTCTATTACACTTCCTAAAAATCTGAGCAGAGGGCTGCCTTGATGTGAGCTCAAAAATATTATTAGATATTGAATGGAAATGTTGAACATTTTCCAATGTCAGGGACAAAGTTCTCTATAACTGATTTAAACCCTTTGCTTCAAGCCAAGCATAACAGAACTACCACCTTATCAAGACTCAGGGACATTTGTTATTTTGCATGCACTGTACCTTGCACAGTATGTTAAATCTGCTGGAATCACTGCTAAGGACACTGCTTAACTCAAGATAGAGCAGAAGAACATACAAAATATTATGTTCTGATCTATTAGAAAGTATGAATATACACCCAGCAAAATTTACTGAAAATTTGAAAAATTCAGGTTTTATCATACTTAGTCATTTCAAGTTTCATTTGTATAAGAATAAATTATAACTGATGCAATAGGTAAGCAAGAGCAGTAATATGCTGGCAGACTGAAAAATTTTCCTGACTTGCTCTCATACATCCAAGGCGCTATGCAGCAGCACTGTCCATTTGCCCTTCAACATCCTCATTTTCCAAGCTGGACAGTGGTGCTGCAGCAGAGTGAAACCTGTGGAAGACAAAGCATTTCCTTCTGCATGTTTAGTGGCTGAAACGGAATCCAAACCTCCACTTAAGAAAAGCACCCGCTGAAGCTGTGTTCATCCATCAAATGCAAAATCTGCTTCCTAATTTTATACAATCCTGATAGGAATGACATTTTAAGCTCATCATGTTTTTCTATCATTTTTTACCAGAAAAGCGGTAGTTCTTTGATTACAAAACTTAAATTATCTCAGTTCTGGCTGAACTCCAAGACATAAGCACTTTCTTCTGCTGTCTCAGCTATTCTCCTGATGTCAAAGACACATTAAAATAAATGTGAACCATATGGCTCCCCAGCAGATTACTCACACTCCTGCATCAGTGAGGGCAAAGCAATTCATTGTCACCAGCGCAGAAATATCTTAGGCATGTGAAAATTCCAAGAGGCTGGAAAAAACATGTGTGAAGCAACCTTTTGGATTAAAGCTCTATCTTAGACCAGTGGAAATGCTGCATTTCTTACACTCTACTACCCATTGGTCTGCTTTTTTACATACTCGGTGTCATATAAACCATTGTGGCAAGAAGGATTAGCACCATTCTCCACCTGCTCCGTGACTTTCCATGCAGTGTTTCATCAAGTCTAACACCACATAACAGCAAAGCCTAATCCCTCCTGGTAATCCAGGTCAGAACACTGCTTATAAAAGCCAGCCTGCTTCCAAACCCTCATAGAAAACAAAATCTAGGAAAAGACTGTATCCAGAAATTGCTTCTACCTCTTTCTCTTACCTCTCCTTCTATCCCATTGTCTTCCAAAAGGTATTTTCTAAGCATCTCCATACACTCAATTTACAAGTTTCCAACCCTGAATGATAAAACACTTTTCCTACATGCT